ATGAGATGGTTGGACAGTGTCTGCGAAGCAACCAACATGAAATTGACAGACCTCTGGGAGGCAATGGAAGATAGACGGGCCCGGCATGCTCTGGTCCATGGGGTCATGAAGAGTCGGACACGACTAAACGACTAAACAACAACAACAGCCTAGTGGTTTTTCCTACTTTCTTCAGTTTAAGTTTAAGTTTTGCTATAAGAAGCTGATGATCAGAGCCACAATCAGCTCCAGGTGTTGTTTTTGCTGATTGTATAGAGCTTCATATTTGGCTACAGAGAATATAATCAATATGATTTTGGTATTGCCCATCTGGTGATGTCCATGTGTAGAATCGCCTCTTGTGTTGTTGGAACAGAGTGTTTGTGATGACCAGCTTGTTCTCTTGACAAAAGTTTATTAGCCTTTGCCCTGCTTCGTTTTGAACTCCAAGGCCAAACTTACCTGTTGTTCCTTTTATCTCTTGACTCCCTACTTTAGCATTCCAATCCCCTATAATAAGAAGAACATCTTTCTTTGGTGTCAGTTCTTGAAGTGACACCATATGTGTTGTAGCTCTTCTTAAATGATTTCTTTGTTGAGCTTTCAGAGCGGAATATTAAAGTTAGTGTATATGTGTATGTATGAGAAGTAAGCCCTTTGTAAGGAGAAAGAAGGTTCTACTTTGTCAGATGGGATGATTTTACTCTATTAACATGCCTTTTTATGTAAATATGGCAGAGTGGTATTGCAGGTTACATGGCTATTATATACATAGTTGTGCCTCAAAAAAGGTTGGGAATCAGTGTGTTAAAGGTTTCACAAAACTGAAATCCCGCAGTAAGTTGTAACTAGGATTAGTGGAAATTACAGAGGAGTTGATTCAGCAACCCAACCCAGGGTTCGGTGGATCTACTCTAGTTGCAACTTACTGCTGAATTTCAGCTTAGTTGCAACTTACTGCTGAATTTCAGTTATCTGGTAATAGCTAAAATTCTCTGTGTAGCAGATAAATGTTGTTGGTATTATACAAGGAGACGCAGATCCTCTTTTTATGAATTCACTGTATCTATTCACATGTATGTCTTGATTGTTTCTTTTTGCTTTCACAGAACCAGTTGCAGTCAATATAAGAAAATGTCATCCTTTTCAGTTTTGCGTGATCTCTGTTGCTTTTTATCATAGATACTATGGCAAGCCCAGAAAAAGATCATTACAGAATGAAAAGTTATAAGAACAATGCCCTCAATCCTCAAGAAATGAGGCGACGAAGAGAAGAGGAAGGTATTCAGCTTCGGAAACAAAAAAGGGAAGAGCAAGTAAGTATATAAAAATATAGTCTGCCATTTTATTTCTGTTTTGTTTTTTTAAGTAAGTCTTGTGTAAATAATTTGCCTTCTTAGTAGGAATGAGTAGGATTGTTTGTACCAAAATAGATTAGCAGAATTATCTGTGTGCCTGAATGTGTCTGTGGTCTGGTAACCAGCCATTCCCAACCATTTTTTGGCCACAGTCCTTTTTAGGAACACTTCATCAGGTTCCAAGGCCCTGTGTCAAACAAGGATACAGCATGAACAAATGAATAGAAAATCTCCTTCTCCCTTTTTTCAATCTGTGCTTCCGGTCAAATGTCCCAGGGAAGCACAGCCATTCTCCCCTGTTGAGAATGGCTGTGCTAAACTAACAGATAGTAGGAAACTACTTAGGCGTTAATTTGTGTGATGTACCATTGTTCATAATTGTTCAGCATCCTGTGGAAAGCACTTCTTTGGTGATACACAGGATTTTGTTATTTGAGATTCAATTTAGGTATTTTCCTGATTGTGTAAACACAATATTTACAATAGTTGATTATGTGTGTGTTCAAGATTCATTTACAGAAAAGTGAGTTTATTTCTTGTTTTTTTAACATAGCAGTTTAATTTTCATAATAAAAGAGTATTAGAATAAGAAGTACCATGTTGGATAATGCCAAGGGCCAAATTTTTATTCTTTATCAGTGACCAGCCAACTGTCCCTGAATACAAGCATCTGGTGCTCTTAGATACATAGACTTGAGGGAAAAATGAGACACATAAAGACACAACAGTTACTGTTTATAGATTTGCCCTGGACAGCCTTCTAGAAATCTTTCCAGAGAGGGAGAAATAGTAATTATTCTTTGAAGATAAATAACTTCTCTATTACAGCATTACATGTTGCTTTTTATATAGTACATCTCAGTTAGAAAACATCTAGGCACAATTTAGAGCTAAGATTACGCATTCAAGCACAGGTTCTTTTGAGACATTTTCCATTTTCTATACAAATTAATCTTGTTCTTCTTTAACCGTTGCTTGTAATAAACACCAAAGTAAATAAAAGTGTGGCTAATTGTATTTCTAAAATTATATTATGGCCATCGCAGTGATTATGAGGATGTGTGTTCAAACTGATTCTGATTTATGGCAACCCTTCAAGAGTTTTCTATCTATAAACTGCTCAAAAGTTGTTTAGCTGTCCTTCCTTCTGAGATACTCTGGGATTCTGCAACTTGCTCAGGGTTGCACAGGTAGTAGAGCACATCAACCGCATGCATTCCTGGTGATCTCATTTGGTGCCTCTCTTGATTCAAAATCCTGATCCTGGCTCCATAGCCAGGCACATCAATCACTGAGGTATATCAGCTCAGATTTGGATCAAAGATCTTGTTTCTAAAAGGGATGTGAAAAGGAATTTAAGAAGACACTTCATCATAGATTATACATGAAATCACTTAAGTACCTAGAAAATAGAGGAGGTTGATCAAATGTGTTTTAGAAGTGAGAAACTAATAAAACAGTTGTATTTTTTATGGAGACAAATCTTATGATATTGCCTATCAAAAATATTATTTCACATTTTTTTACTCAGTTATTTAAACGCAGAAATGTTTATCTGCTGGGAAATGAAGAATCAATGCAAGAAAGTCCAATCCAAGATCCTGATGTGAGCTCTACTGTACCTATTCCTGAGGTAAACAACCACAAACTAAGCATATTGACAGAGGTGATTTAAACATTTGACATTGATTTATCTCTTTCATATTTGGTTTTTTTAAAAGGAAGATGTAATTACATCTGATATGGTACAGATGATTTTCTCAGATGATCCAAACCAACAACTTGCAGCAACCCAGAGGTTTAGAAAATTGCTTTCTAAAGGTAAACAACTTTTGTGTCCTTTGCTGTGTGCTTTTAAAAACTGCAATTGCTAATGTTATTCCCATGCATTTGAAAGCATATTGGAAAAACAGGTTCATTCTCAAAACAGCTTGTTGAATTGTTTTCATCTGTTTTTAAATCACATGTGTGGTTCGGTTGATTCAGCTGTGATGGCTGAGTGCCAAAAAATCAGAATGTGAAAACAAGAGAAACAAGCAGCTCAGACAGTAGCAGGGCAGGGATTACATCCTTTGTTCATGTTCTGCTGTACTTTCCTGCTCTAGTAATCTCTAAGAATGCTAAGAGTTGTTTCTGTGACTCTTGTTCTCATCTGCCTGAACCAACATGTTTCGTGGTCAGGACTGATAGGAGATATAATATCTAACCAAATGTGGGGTGTCTCAGAAACAATTTTTAGCATTCCTGTGACAACAGTCATACACTTTATGATAAGAGCTGTAATATCTAACCCCATCTGGAGACGACAGATTCCCCAGCCTTTCTGTAGCTGATTGGTGGGCCCAGTCTTGATTGTTATAGATGTAATTCTTACATTCTTCTTTCAGTATTTGAAAACCTGTCTTAGTAATGTTTCACTGATAAATGGAGACCCACAAAGAAATATGGAAGGGACACAGCAGAGTATGCTCTTTTCCTCACAGTTACATCTATCCCTGTTATATGGTTATTTTGCAGGGCAAAGATGTTCATCTTGAAATCAGGAGAAGAGCATTTATAATCCCAAGGCAATCAAGCAGTTGCAACAATTTAAGCGTTGTGAGGAGGCTGATAGTGTTTAATCCCTATGAATAACTCTGGCTATTTTAAGGCTTTTATTGGAGTCAAGGGATGATTGCACAAGGTGTTTTTGAAGCAGTGATGACCTTGATTCAAAGAGATAATATAAGCTTATATATCCTTCTTGTCTGCAAAGCAGAGTGACTTGCTTCTCATTGAGCTTTGTTGCTTAATGGGGACAGAAACCATTCCCCCTCCAGGTCCAGTATTCTAGTAACTATACCATAGAAGCTCTGTTACTTAGCCTTTTCTTTATTCGTTCTCTTTCTGAATCTTCTTCTGAGCTGAAACTGGATATAGCTTTAGCTTTTGTGTATTGAATTAATCTTTATTTTTAGAACCTAATCCTCCAATAGATGAAGTCATACAAAAACCAGGAGTTGTGCAAAGATTTGTGAAATTTTTGGAAAGTCATGACAATTGTACTCTTCAGGTGAGTTCATTTGGAAATATATGCCAAGATTTTAGAGAAACATCAATATTCTAACAGTTCATATTTTTCTATTGGGATATGGTGTTTCTTCTTCTTCTTCTTTGCTGGTCCTAATGCTGTTGCAGGAATAATACTTTTTATAATAAACTATACATAGCCTGTGCTGCAGGGTCAGAAGACCAGCAGTTGTAAGATCGAATCCATGCGACGGAGTGAGCTCCCGTCACTTTGTCCCAGCTCCTTGCCAACCTAGCAGTTCGAAAGCATGTAAATGCGAGTAGATAAATAGGTACCATCTCGGGGAAGGTAAAATGGTGTTCCCTAATCACGCTGGCCACGTGACAACGGAAACTGTCATCGGACAAGTGCTGGCTTTACGGCTTGAAAAATGGGATGAGCACCGCCCCCTAGATGTCAGACACAACTGGACTAAAGATGTCAAGGGGAACCTTTACCTTTATATACATAATATTAACAATAAAAACTGCCTAGAAAGTAAGTGTGAGCTATGGCAGAATGTTTTGTTTAAATTAACTGTATTTTTGTTTCTTAGTTTGAAGCAGCATGGGCTCTTACAAATATAGCATCTGGAACATTTCTGCATACTAAAGTAGTAATAGAGACTGGAGCTGTCCCAATTTTTATTAAATTGTTGAATTCTGAACATGAAGATGTCCAGGAGCAGGTAACTTTTTGTTAATGTTCATCAATTAAATAAGTGATGTTTGAATCTTGAGTTTCATAAAGGAAGACTAATACAGAGAGGTGTAAAGTTAGCACTGACACACTAACACTGTTATAACAGTATTGCTTGACATTAAGAACAGTGATTGCATAGATTTCCAGTAATGCTTAAGCTATTTCTTAAAGATGCCTGCCTCCTATAAATAGGCATATGCTGGACTATTTGAAAGCCTCTAGGATGAAAGATAGGTGCCAGATCATTGTTACTTCTATAAAATTTCTAAACTCATGGTGTGGAATATGAAGGAATGCACTTAACATGAAAGGAATGAGTGCTGACACTTTTGTTCTTTCAAGAACTGACTGCTCTTGTGTCATCATTGGGCTTGAATGCAGTGCTGGCACATGTGGTGACACACAGTTTATACCTGATCTAAGGTTTTTCTTCTTCCCATTAAATTCTGTTGTAATCTTCCAACAGCTTTTAGAACTGAGCTACAAATGTAAAGTTTAACTATTGTGCTTTTCATTGTTGTATATGAGTGGAGTTCACTGATATAATAATGATATTGTATGCATTACTGAATTCTTGTGTATGTTTCTTTATAAAACATTATGAAGTAACGGCAGTGTATAAAAGTTTGCAGACCATGTGGCTGAAGTGCTTCACAGAAATCTGTAATATTAATTGATCACTTTCTTTCTAAGGCAGTGTGGGCTCTTGGTAATATTGCTGGAGATAATGCAGAATGTAGAGATTATGTGTTAAACTGTGGAATCCTTCCCCCCCTCTTACAGTAAGTATTGATAATCTACACCAATAAAAAGAATTGCATGTGTCTAAAAATTTGAAATATGTAGACTTAATTTCTAACTTTTAAATAGTAGCTGAATGTAATTCTTATTATGGCAACCCATTGCTAACATTCTAAGGAATAATCCCACCAAATGTAACGAAATTTACTTTCAAACAGACATGTACGAAAGTACAGAAGGCAAAATAGTTCAGAAGCTGACTTATTGATATTATTGGTTATTATTACACTTATCCCTTCAACAACACTGGGGTTAAGGGTTCCAGACCACTTTGTAGTTAAAAAGAATCAGTGTGTAACTCTTATTCCCCCCTCCAATGTAACTGGAAAGCATAAACAGCTGGTTAACACTCTCTTACACACACACACACACCCCTCCCTCCCTCAATTCATGTTAGCTTCCTGGCATCTCCCAGCATCTCCCTGGCCACCATGTGGAGGCACCATGACAGGAGAGGGGGCCAGTCAGGCTGCTGCCATTGGACCAGGGACTGGTGCACTGCTAACAACATGGCCCTGGGTAAGCCTGAGCCCAAGACCCACCTCTCTCAAACCACTTCCTAGATATGAATAGCAACACTGTTTTTACTTATTTAGTTATTTTAAAAAGGTACTTATTTAGTTATTTTTAAAAACTGTGCTGCTCAGATCTGTGCAGTCTAAAGGAGTATTCAGTATTTCCAAAGAAACTGTAGTAATTATGGATATAATAAAAATTCAGTTCTTCCATAAAATATTTCATAAAGAGATTACATGTGATAAAGTTGAGACAGTCTCATGTTAATGATGTGAAAAATCTATTTCTAGTTAATGTTTGTATATTTTGACAGACTCCTAACGCATTCTAACAGACTCACAACAACTCGGAATGCAGTCTGGGCCCTTTCAAACCTTTGTAGAGGGAAGAATCCACCTCCAGATTTCAGCAAGGTAGGCCCCATATTTCACAGTGCAGAGATGCTCAAATGACAGAAGAAGTAATTTACTTTGACACTGCACATATTCTCATATTAAATGGCGGATAAGAGGAGGCACAAGATGATATCTTCCCCTGTGGCACCTTAAAGGTGCAGGGAGGCTTTTATTTAATGCAAGCTAAAAGATGTTCAAACCTAATCTAAATTATGGTGGTATTGAAATGAAATGAAGAGGAATTATTGTAATCCCTTTAGACACATTGCTTCTTTTTTGTTAAAAAGTAGCTGATCATTACCTTTTCTTATCTCTTTCTCTCAAGGTTCGTCCTTGCTTAGGTGTTCTGTCAAGACTGTTGTTTAGCAGCGACCCAGATGTGTTAGCAGATGCTTGCTGGGCACTTTCATATCTTTCTGATGGACCAAATGATAAAATCCAAGCAGTTATTGACTCTGGAGTTTGCCGAAGATTAGTGGAACTTCTGATGTAAGTAACCAAGCATGCATTAAAAATGTTATGGAAAGCACTGAGAAGTATTGGGGAGGCTCAGAAAAGGATTTGGGGAGGCCACATTGTAACATCCACCCTCAAACCTCAGAGAGTGGTTGCTACTTTACTTTAAAACTCTGCTGCCACCAACTTATCCTTGAAAATCAAGCGAAGGACAAGTGTAACTTTGAAAAACAAAAACTGGTTTATTGATTACAGGAAATAAAAATTGTAAATCACTGGTAAAGAATCAATAAGTCAATCACTGTAAATAAATCACTGGCTCACACAGACTATTTCACACTGACAGGCTCGCTCACTCACTATAACTAACATTCACTTTAAACCCTCAGCTCAGACTCTCATCTCCAATCTCTATCTCCCCTCACACACTCTTCACCCCCTGTTTATACTAGTTCCACCCTCCGTCACACCATTGGCTGATGACTCACTGCCCAGCTGTGACGGACAGGTGATGTCTTGGCTGCCCGTTACAATGAATCCAGCATTGCAGTGCACTTTGTAGGTGAATTGGTATCTCTCCTTAAACTAGTGGTTCCCAACCTTTTTCGGACCATGGACTGGTTGGAGGGTGCAGGCTCCCTGCGCGGGGGGGGCAGAGGCCCCCTGTGCTCACAGGTAGGCATGGCATGCTCACGGACGGCGTGTCATGCTCATGGAGGGACATGTCGTGCTTGCGGAGGAACGTGTTGTGCATGCGTGCGAGCTTGACACCCACCTGCAAGCGTGGCATGCCCACCATGCAGGTGTGGGGGGCAGAGATCCGTGTCCGTGGCCCAGTTCAAGAAAGCCCACGGACTGGCACCAGGCCACGGATTGGGGTTGGGGACCCCTGCCTTAAAGGACTGTGCTTCCTTGTGTTGCGGTGAACTCAAAAGTGAAAATGCAAGCAAGTCATTCTCCTCTCACTTGAACCTCATTTTTCCAATATGAGAATGGCCATAATGATCTGCCTTTTAGTATTGTATTGTGATAATATATGTGAAGTACTTTGAACATACAGTGGTGCCTCGCTTAACGATTACCTCGTTAAACGATGAATCCACTTTACGATGAGGTTTTTGCGGTCGCAATAGCGATTGCAAAACGATGTTTAGATAGTGAAAATTCGCTTGACCAAGCAGGGAACGGATTTTACACTGGACGATTCTAAAACAGCTGATTGGCGGCTCTAAAATGGCCACCCGCTGTGCAAAATGGCTCCCCGCTATGCTTTAGGACGGATTCCTCACTTTACAGGCACCGGAAAATGGCCGCCCTATGGAGGATCTTCGCAAAACGAGCAGGTATTTAGCCCTTTGGAATGCATTGAACGGTTTTCAGTGCATTTCAATGGGTTTTTAAAATTCGCTTGATGACGATTTCGCTTAACAGCGATTTCAAAGGAACGGATTATCGTCATCAAGCGAGGCACCACTGTACTACATAAATGCTCATTAGTAGTATAGTGCAATTTGGAAATAAATCTATATAATATAAAGGGACTTAATTGCTTCAAGAACAGTGTAGTTGTTTTTAACCTATAACAGCTGGGTTTAAACCTCAACTAGTGTTTATGTTCTCTAAGGCACAATGACTACAAAGTGGTATCTCCTGCATTAAGAGCTGTTGGAAATATTGTGACTGGAGATGATATTCAAACACAGGTAGGTGGAGTTCTTTGATTTGCAAAATTTCAGCAACTACACTAAAACAGGAAAATTTCTATACAGAAATCAGGTGCATGAGATAATGTTGCCTGCTTCTGTCTGTGAGTTTCTTGTTCTCAGTACAGTAGTAGGAATAGAAAACTAAATTTTAAGTTGTTCATATTTTGAACCCTATTTTGAGTTGCATCTGAAGTTCTTCAGCATGTGAAACATAGCATCTGTTCACCATACATTTATTTTTTCACTTATCTGTATAGTGTTGTGAAAGAATGGTGAAATTAAATCTAAAAATGGTTGTGTTCTTGAATAATGAAAACAGGCTATCTTTAATGGCCCTGCAAAAACTATGTTATGGCATAGAACTAGAGTTACAGTGGTGCCTCGTACAACGAGTGCCCCGTTTAACGATGAATTCGCATAGCGATGGCATTTTTGCCATCGCTTTTGCGATCGTATAACGATCT